TTTGAAATCTTAGTTGGACTACAGTCAAAGAATCATCGGTGTAAAGTACTGTTCTCTGCTATGATGATTTTTCTTTATGCCATACTAGGCAATAACATTCTGAAATATTAGTTTTATGGTGGGAATGATTACTTAAGAAAACACACAAAACATGATTGAAAGTGGTGAGAGATGAGTCTAAACAAAATGAGCATAAATTGTTGCAAGTCAAACAGACCTTATTTTACCAAATTAGAGGAAAGGGGCTAAAGTGACAGGGAGGACGGCCTGGATTTGTTGAATGTGTTTGAAAATTGATAATCCTAACCTGTTCTCTGCATTTGCAGATGTTTCCTTGTTAAGGTTACAAAGCCATGTGGATTCAACATTTCAGATAGGTCTAGTATTTGCTTATGTTACATGATGTTTATATATGACATACTGGAATCTTATTTTGAAAGTGCAGACACAAAAATGCACTTGAATAAAAAGACATCTGCCAGCTTGCTGCATTTGCTATAAAGCTCATATTTTAGCAACACTGTCAGGTTTACAACTTCATTAATTGACTTTCCACTGCAACTTCTTCTCTGGCTTCTATATCGTCAGTATCTTAATCATGGCATGCATTCATGTGTGTGAGACAGAGTGAGAGTGCCTAATTCCAGTGTTCTTTCGAAGGTTCTAAATGTGGAATTTCAGAAATATACATACACAAATATTCACACGAGTATACACTGCAGGCTGATTAACATTTTTAGTAGGCAGTTGCACTGCATGCCCCCAAATGTGGCTGAACATAGAAGGCCTTCTCATCATTCCACAGCCCTGATCCATCTTTCATCCCAATTCTCTTTCTCTCTCACACACACGTGCAGCACCACTGGTGCCGCACTCAGAACCTTTCATACAAGCATATATTCTAACAGCTTGAAACCAGTTCATTTTATTTTTCATTGTGCAAGTTCTTTCTACTTGAGGCAAATAACAATAATCATAAAAACCATCACGTAAAGAACTTGCAATTAAAGAACAAACAAAAAATCAAGGCAGACAAGAACCACTTCCAACAGCAAGAAAATCACAATCACCAGTGAGCTGTTCACCAGTCTTGGGGTAAATATCATGAGTCCCTGCTTCTGACCATGATGACTTTTTCTCTTCTGTGAGGATTCTCATGTGAATGGAGATAAATGTTTTCAGAGGTATGTTGATTCTGACCTTAAAGGGCTTTGAAGGCATCTTAAGTGAGGGCAATGACATTTTGTCAGTGCAGTCATTGTGGCAGAGGCTTAACATGTTCCAGCTTCCCCATAGAAGTTGAAAGACATGTCATGAGCTTGTGTACCAGCTCCAGTTCTGAAGTACCCTTTTTATCTAGTAGTAGCTGGACCCAAGAGCCCCTGGAATCCAGAAGTTGACCAGACTTGCAATAGACTACAAACCAGGACTTCCATTTAATGATATACTTTCTAGGGAACACAACTATGAGTGTTAAAGAAATGTTGGAAGGAGGGTAGGAAAGAAATTCTTTAAGTTTGTAATCCTGTGCATATTTAGACAGGAAAAGGACTTTATAACTCCCAACTTGCTCTACACATAGAGACTAAGTAAGGAAGGAAGGCTCTTATACTCATCCTAAATAAACAAATATTCTTTTAAAGGACTTAATTTTATTAATATATCTATATAGAATGTATGTGCATGTAACAGTGTTACAAAAATAATCTCATAGTGCAGCTTTTCAGGGACAAAATCAAAAGCCCACACTGTTTGGTTTTCTCTTAAATATATTTAACATTTTTAAGGATTGACTTATAAAATAGAAATCTTTTAAAAGCCCTAGAAAATGTGCAGAATATTAACTTGTGAGCAACTATCCCTTGGAAAGAAGGGCCTTTTATATGTGGTCCAATTAGTTCTGCTATATTTGAACACTTAAACAATCAGTAACACCCTAAGATGGGGAAACCTGAGTAGGCTGTAGAGATTTGTTTTCTGTGGCCTCTTCTTTTTTCTAAATATAACGTGGAATGAAATTCTGTTTCATCATTAAAAACCCAGTCCAACAGATATTTGGATTAGATTGTGAACAGTAACTGATAGTAGTTCCATTTTCTGAAACGGAAAGAAACCATTTGAAAAATAAAATATAGAAACATAGAAAACAGAGCGAGTCAGAAGAGGTCTCCTGGGCCATCTAGTCTGACCTCCGGCACCAGCCGGCTCTGCTCACAGCAATGTATTATTGTGCAGTACCAAACCACATTCTGTATTATTTCTTGGAATCCTTGCCAAGTGTCAGTGTCACATTTTAAATTGCTTTGCATCAAGACTGTAGTTTTTCAGTTATTTTTAATTTCAGTCATTGGTCCCCCCCCCCCCGCTTTAAACCTGTATAGACCCAGACTTAGATTTTACACTTTTTCCCCTTGTACACTAGGGTTGTAGGGATTGGCTTATATACAGTGGTACCTTGGCTAATGAACTTAATCCATTCCAGGACTCTGGTTGTGACCCAAATTGGTCGTGAGCCAAGTTAAATTTCCCCATAAGGTTCTATGTAAATAAGGTTAATCCATTCTGTAACTTTTTTTTAAATCAGAAAAATGTGAAGCAAAGTGACAAAGAACAACAAAGATCACGGCCATCTCTCCCCACCCCACCCCGAGCAGGAGCATGGCCATCTCCCCACCCCCTCCAAGCACGACCAGGTTGTTCCCATCATGCCTGCACCCGTCCATCATCCCGGTGTGCTGCAAGGGGAAAGATGGGCAGGAACACGGGCACGCTTTGGGGGGGAGACGGGCATGATTGTGCTGGAGGGGGGAGATGGCTGAGAGCGTGGTTGCGCTCGTGCAGGAAAGCCAGGTGCAATTACAGGTGCGCTCATGCAGGAAAGATGGGCCTGATCTCGGCCACCCCCCCCCCCCACCTCCAGCACGATCGTGGCCCTCTCCCCATTCAGGGGGGAGGGGAGATGGCCGCGATCTCGGTTGCCAGCCAATGCGGAGTTCATGACCTGAGTAAATATTTTTATGACATTTTTGTTTGCAACCCGATTTGGCCATGAACCGAGGTGTTTGTGAGCTGAGGTACCACTGTAGTTAAGGTACCACTGTTGTTTTAAAGGGTTGAGTATATTCTGTGGCAAAATAAACTCGTACTTGATACTAGAAGGGAGGATGTGAACATCAGGCCCTTTGCTCATCTCTCAATCTTAGCGTTTGGCACTCTGTAGCATGGAATGGAGCAGAATTTCTTGAGAATGGCAAGAATCTGCAAAATTGTAGTGCAAAATACATAACTGTAAAATAACCTTATCTTAGAATAGTTGATATCGTCTCACATTCTAGTTTTCTGAAATCACACAATCACAGGTTTATAACTTTTAAAAATACTATCTAAAAACCATCACTTGAAGTACTATCTTCCATCTTTCCCAGCCCCTGGTAGATTAGTCCGCAAACTCTAGTACATCATTTGCTAAAAGGCAGAAAATAGGAAAAGCCATGAGAAAAACTTAAGAGCCATGTTGGATTAGACCAGGAGTCCATCTAGTCTCATTTCACAGAGTGACAACCATCAGTCCACAGGAAATCTGCAGGTAGTTCATAAGTGCAACACCCTCCTGTCCATGTTCTCCAGCAACTAATGTTCATAGGAATGCCAACCTTTGGTGTTGGAGGGTAGGTAGCATTATTTATTTGTTCATATTCATCACACCTTTTTCCTGTAGGAAACTCAGGGCAACTGACTTAATCTTCCTCTTCATCTACACTTTATTCTCACAAAAATCCTGGGAGATAGCTTAGACAGAGAGGCAATGACTGACCCAAGGTGAGTTTCATGGCCATTTGGGGACTAGAGCCTGGACCTCCTTAGACCCATTCCAACACTCTAACCACTATGCTACTCTGGCTGTCTTCTAGAGGAATCAGCATTGCTAGCATGCATACTTGCTAGATAAGGAATAAACTTGCTAAAATTTAATTCATGAACCTCTTGAGTAGAAAATGTAAGCCCCATCTTTTGATGCTGTTATTTCTTTAGCATTTCATGAAAATATAATTAGTAGCAGCCTTGACCTAGTGTAGTATTTCTGTTCTTTCATTTTCTTGAACTTTTAAAAGGATTCTCTATGTTGTGGTGAGGTTAGCTAGGCCTGGGGCGTGAGTAAGAATTCTGATTCTGGTATAAATGTTATAAATGTTACAGTCCCAGAACAGACAAATGGCTGTGTGTGTGTATGGAGGTAGAGGGATTGCATTTGCAGGGAAATTTGGATAGGTTTTCCCAAGTCCATATTTCTAGTACAAGATCTAGTACAGCATTTATGTACAAGCAGTTCTGAACAGCCTCGCTTACAGTTCCAGGTGACCAACCACTGAGGGAGGGCCATGGGAGTTTGTAGTCCATTTGTTCATTTAGTCCATTTGTCTGATTTGTTACATTATTTTTCTCCTCTCCTGATAAGATAATGTATTTGCATGCAGGGATCTGATTCTTATCACTCATGGTATCTGCTGAATAGACACTAATGATGTGACTCATGTTTCTCATGAATTAAAAAGAAGAAAAATATGGTCACAATGCTGGCAACACTGATTAATATTCCCAGGTTTACAAGTGAACATGAACAGCTTGTTTCATCTGTTGAATAGAGTTTGGCTGGGTGCCTTGTGGCAGGCCCACATATACAATCAACCTGGTATTCCAGGTAATCTCCTAAACCTCCTGCCACTTAAATCTGCTCCTACCCGCTGGCCCTGGTCAGACAATTGAACCACACACTTTGCCTTGAGGTCATTCTGTGAACTAAAACAATAGGCATTGAGTCCAATCAGAATGGAAGTATCCTAACACCTACAGGTTGGGAGTATTAATCAGATTTAATATTAGAATAGTACAGTTTTCAGGTTCTCTGGCAGTGTTACTGACCTGTTTTCTCTGTGAGCCTCTTTGGAATGCACTGTGTCTAACTGAAGTTGCTCTCTCACTTTGTTATCCCAATATCTCAGGGGAACCATCTGGATGCACCGTGTCTTATTTGTAGAAGAGCAAATTCTCAGTCACTGGACATACTTCACCATTTGGAATGCTGGCAAGCAGGGCAGGAAGTTCTTTAGAAGTTTGTGTCTGGCTAATCAGAGAAAAGTGAGTTTGAAAAGAAAAAATGCACAACATTTTAATAAATGTAGTCTTGCTGCTATATATTTTATGTCATTTAGTAAAGTTTAAAAGAGAACCTTCCACCTAATTTACTTAGTTTAAAGACACACTTAATTTACTTAGTTTAAAGCCATACAAAATAACTTTTATTTTCTTGACAAATGAAAACCTTAGGTTAAAAATGGAATACTGGAACCTGAAGGAGAAGTACTGAATATATAAAGAAAGGTGATAATAGGTTGTCTTGTTTCTGTATGACATTGCAAATCTAGGCCTTCAGGTACCTCAAATAATAGTAGCAATGATTTGATGCATTTATGGTGACATGAAGCACAAAGTGAAGCAATATTTGCCTGACAAAGTGATAGCTCAGCCAATTATGCTTTCAAGTGCAACCATATACCATATACCTTATTCCCCCTGCCAAGCTTGCCATGTGCACAAAAGCATCTCAGGGCATAAAGCTTCAATCAGTACCAAAAACACAATATCAGAATTGCACACTATAAATCAAGAGATAGTTAAAATATTCAATCAGTTTAAGTCAAATTCAAATGTTGGTTAAATAAAATAAATATTGACCCAACACTGAAAATTGTACATTATTGGTTCCAGTCCTTCCTGTCTCACGAGGGTATTCCAGTATTAGGATTCCAACAGAGAAGAGATCTTGTCCTTTGTAGGTGCATAAACTATATCTCAGTTATGGAATTTGACCTAATTTGACCATCTGTGGAAAGGCTGGTATAGAAGGATGTTCTGCTTTAGTTATTTGGGTCCTAAGCCATAAGCATCAATATCTTGATTTGTTCTCAGAAGAGAATAGGGAGGCAGTGTAGTGATTTCAAAATTGGTTTAACATGGTTGCACCTCCACACACTGGTCAGAATTCTCACAGCTGGATTCTGTCTCATCATGTAACTTGCAAGTGAGTGCCTTGCTAAATTTTGCTATTAAGGCTGCATATCAGAAATTAGTGTTTAGGAAGTAAACTGCCTTCCTCTGTCACTTTGCTTTGTCTGAGCAGTGGAAAATGAAGGGTTGGCATCAAATGGCTGTTTGCTACTATAATAGGGCTCGAAATGTTAATGTATTCCTGAACAATTTCTCTTGTTGGGAACAAATACACACAGAAGGCATGAGAAAGAAGACATGGTAACCTATTTAATCAGCAATTCTGAGACCACCCATACAGAAAATGAAATGTGCACTCAAGACCACTAACTGCATCACTGTGTGTTGTTTCCTCCAGCCAGATTTATTTAACAGTGTTGAATCTGTCTTATCACTTGAGTTCAGCCCAGTGGTAGCTGGGCCCTTAAAGAGGGGGACAATTGGTACTCTGGGATCCCTTTTTAGGGGCTTGACACCTCAGTGCTATAGAAAACATTGTAGAAGACTAAAGTTCTGCCTGCACACTTAGGTATTGGTCAGCTATAATAAAAACAGCCAAGACATAAACTTCCCTCTCCTTCATATGCAGAGGGGCTTCCTACTTGCTGCTGCTGCTACATCAAAACAAGCCACTTACACAAGGTACTTCCATTTGATTTGAACCAATACCTTACCGTGCAGCCCCCCATGAGATAACACTATTAAGGAGCTCCCCTGACTGTGTGGAAAGGCCTTTCAGCGGGTGCTGGAAGATGGGAGGGGATGAACCCTCTTAGGAACAGCTTACCAGTTCCAGTCCTTGGAAACATTCCACTGAATTCCATTTTAACTCCTTCCTGTTTTTTAATGTGACTTATGTAGGTCACCTGAATACAGGGTTCTTTCCTGCACCACTGCTGATACTTTGCCTTCCAATTTGCTGTTCCCAAGCTCTGCCATATCTGTCTAACTCTGGACAGGGAGCCATTTCAGTGTATGTGATGCAAACTGTACATCAAGCATAGGCAGTCTGGTACCCTCCAGATGCTTTGGGCTACATCTTCCATAAGCTTTGCTCAATATAGTAATGGTGAAAGTTGCAATTCAAAACATCTGGAGGACGCCAGATTACCTACTCCTAATGCATAGCACCTAGTAAAATCTAATCTTTAACTGTCAGTTTCTCTGGCTTCACTTCCTTTCAATTCAAGGTGGGATAACCTCCCCTCTATATTTGGAAAATGCTGCTGAAAATTTAGAAACAAGGTTATTTTTGGGTTACGTATTTTACTCTGATACCTAAATGTAGCAGTTATTAAAATTATACTAAATAGCCCTTAGGATTCCTTTTTAATTCATGGTATAAAAGTATGTGTAATAAGAGACAAAAAGCTGCAATACTAGCGTACCCCAAGGAATGTTTTGAGAGGAGGAAGAGCTGTGTAAAAAATAAACACATGAACATACAAATTTTTGTTCTGCCTTTTGCAAGCTGAAAGTGGCCCACAATGTCCACAATCTAAAATATGAATCAAGTTGTTAGATATTCTGCTTTTGCTTAGTAATGACCATCTCTTGGTGGAAATTGTGAATCTTTTACCAAAGCCAAGAATGTAGAATTCTGTCCATTTTGTCAAGACTTGAGAATGGGAGTTTGTCCAGTATCTGACTTGCATTCTGTGGAAGTTATGCTTGAACCCAGAGGGGCTGAATGCTTGTCCAGAGCTTTGTCTCCAAGGCCACCTTCCTCATCTGTAAATATAGCAATGAATGGATTATTGCCAGCGTGAGAAGCTTAAGTGCTGGACACGTGCAAATGATTATTTGTTTTAAAGTGGACAGACTTGTCCACTCCAACATGTTGAGTCATCTTAGTCACTTGAGTGAAGTTTGCAAAATTGTTTGAAGTTGCTATGGAAATTTCATCATTTTCCTCCTTGTTTTTCAGTGTGTGCTGTGAAGTCCCTTGAATGCTTTCAATTTTCCTGGTTTCCATTTGATGAAATTGTTTCAGAGAGATGATGGGTGGGGATTGGGTTTCAGCCTCTTGTCCTTACAGAAGGAAAGAGCTTTGAAATGAAATGTAGCCACCACTCCCTGGGATCAATTTTAGAGTTCCCTGTTTGTTTAGTTTTTCACTTATCATCTAAAAATCCTGACTAGGGTGTGCAAAGTACAGCTTTCTAAATCTTGTTTGTGGTTGGTACGGTGATCGTCAAGATACATGCATATTTTTTATAACAGTGTCCACTGGAAATCCAATCTTGCCGCCCGCTGAGAGAAGCGATGGTGCAAGAACAAAATAATGCAGCTGCCTGCCTGTGGTGTTTCGCCATCAGACTAGTCAGCTTTTCCTTTTATTACAGAACAGAGAAGCCCTTCCCACTGCTGGTGTGGTTCTGATGAACTGAGATGCTGACATTCTTCCAAGCTGACCTTTGCATAACATTTGCTTTGGCAGCACTACAGGCCAGGATATTATTTTGCTTGTATCAAGGTTGCAATTAGAATTATTTCTTTCTGTTTTACTTTGCGATTGAAAAACATCTGGGAGCATTAACCCATTCAGTACTGACTATTATATTTATTGCAGCATTCTTCAGACAGCTGCTTGTGACACCCCTACACTCCCAAAAAAAGTTGTGGCTGTTTAAAGGGAGAATGCTTCCTGAGGATTTGCTATTGCTCTTCATGCCAATTGGTCAAATGATTGCTTTCCTCACGCGTAGCTTCTTCAACTTCATGATAGAGATTTGCAGGGTACTAAGGTGTCAGAAGATTTTAGTGCGAGTTAGAAATTGTGTGCCGCTAACCTAAGCTAATGCTAAATGGAGGTAGTGACAGCTTTTATTTTCCTGGGCTCCAAGTTCACTGCAGATTGGTACTGTAGCGAAGAAATTAAAAGGTGCTTGCTCCTGGGGAGGAAAGCTATGGCAAATCTAGACAGCATACTAAAAAGCCGAGACATCACCCTGCCAACAAAAGTGCTTATAGTCAAGTCTATGGTTTTCCCAGTTGCAATGTATGGCTGTGAAAGCTGGACCATAAGGAAGGCTGAGCGCCAAAGAATTGAGACCTTTGAACTGTGGTGCTGGAGGAGACTCCTGCGAGTCCCTTGGACCGCAAGGTGATCAAACCAGTCAGTCCTAGAGGAGATCAACCCTAACTGCTCTTTAGAAGGCCAGATAGTGAAGATGAAACACAAATACTTTGGCCACCTAATGAGAAGGAAAGACTCACTGGAGAAGAGCCTAATGCTGGGAACAATAGATGACAAAAGAAGACGGGGATGGCAGAGGATGAGGTGGCTGGATGGAGTCACTGAAGCAGTCGGTGTGAGCTTGAGTGGACTCTGGGGGATGGTGGAGGACAGGAAGGCCTGGAGGAATGTTGTCCATGGGGTCGTGATGGGTTGGACACGACTTTGCGTCTAACAACAACAACCTAAGCTAGCTTTTGTAGTTGGATCAGATATACAGAGCCTTTTCCTCTTCCTCAAGTCCACTCGGACTTTTTCTATCACCACAGACAAAAAGGCAACTCGCCATTCAAGAAGCATGGATCTGTGCAACTTAAAGAACTCTGAGTGGTTCTCTCTTGCAAACAACTTTGTTGCTGTGCTACTGAACAGCAAGGAGCCGAGAACCATGCATGTGGACTGGGGTAGGGCACTTCTTTCAGCATGAGGGGCAGGTTGTTTTCAGAGAAACCCTCCGGGGTTGTATTCCCACAGTGGGTGTGAGGGCAGACAAGGCAGAGTAGGTACAGCTAAAGTCAGAAGAGATGGGTCAGAGACAAAGCTCTTACTTCCAGGAACTAAGTTTTTGGACAGTTGTTTCAGTCTCTTAGAATGTTGTGGCAGATTACAAGATCACGGTATAGTTGGTGGTTCGGGAAAAGGAGTGGGCCATGAAATCGGCGTAGCTGTCTGGGGAACCCCAAAGGGCCTTGTTTAACCTCCAAGCCTGAGGTTTATAATCCGTGTTGAACAGCATGTTCTGACCTTTTCTGCATTTTTCATCTCTCTGGACCTTCCTGAGTGTTCCTTAGTCCTCTTCCCAGACTTTCAGCAGCCAAAATTGTTACTTTTGCAGCCTTCCTGCTCTTACTTC